CGATGTTTGGGGCAGTTACAGTACTTGACTAGAGTTTGGAGCGGCAAATCTCCGGTGACCTTAGTGGGCCGTCATGCGGATGGAGTCGGCATGTTCACGAGCTGCTTGCTGAGTGTGCCTCGCACACGCAAGGCCAACTGCTAGGATTACACCTTTATCTGTTTGGTTTTCTTTTCTTGAGAGGCATCCTGGAGTATAAACTTTGATTTAAATGGTGCAAATGTCAAAATTCGGGCAGAACTTCGATGTATCCACTGGAAAATCTCTGCAGCAAATGGCAGGCACAGACGGGGCCTGTTAGTTATATAGTCGGGAGACGCGACGCGGCGAGTGACACGAGTGAGACCCACGAATGACCACGACTGTTTGCGCCAAGTCGCACGACTGTAGCACGTGCATCCCACGAGTGAACCACGACCTGTTCACGTGAAAAACAGCCCCCCGACAATGCCTGACAACTCACGACTGACGCACGACTGACTTGCGACACACACACGACATAACCACGACATATCTTTTTTTTCTGTCGCGTCCCCATCGCCAAACCATCTTTGATGTGTCGTAGCCCTTGTGACCACTCGAAATACATTTCGGGCATGTTGCAAGATCTGTCCACGACAAATATTTTATGGGTCCACCACGACAAAATTTCGTACGATCCGTTGTGACCGGGGCTTTAGCTAGCCCGACCAGGCTGTGTGACTAACGTCAATATACACGCGGTCTTTTGATGTATGACCGTTTCTTGGAGCTACCTATTCTAGCTAGCTGTCATAACACTTATAATCACTTAGTTTTTGACAGAGCATAATTTCTTTAGAAGCCTTGGATATTACCAAATTATCATCAGACTAAAGAATGACTTCATATCTGCATGAACTGCGTCCCTGTGCATTCTATGGTCTGGAATTTTTTTTTGCAGAAATGTATCCCACCCAGGTGCGCTTACATAAATTTTGCACCAATGCCGCAGCAGTACCGTATATATATATATGTATACACATCGTGGTGTCATTTTTACAAATATTTTTCTCATTGATTCATAAGGGGGTAGCAGTACATTTTGATCGTAATACAATGGAGATAATGGCAGTGGTGTGATCGATGATATAGCTTCACTTGAGTATCGATACTCCACAATACACCAAAAAGAAATCTGCACTTAATTCAAAGTTAACCATCCAATTTATACCTTTATCAGGTTGTCAAAATCGCAGTCAGGTGCACCATTCATTTTTCCATATGATAAAAGGAGCATGCAGATTAACTGATTTTACAATGCCATATTTGCTATCTAATCACTATGTGCACCGTAAGTTCATATTAAAACGAAAAATGTAACGACGTTTCTCAAAAGTCACGCACACAACACGTTGCACAGTTGCTGCATTCGGCTAGATGATTGGTTATAGTTGGGTATTCGAGCCAATCTGTTTACTTGTTGCACATTGCAACAGTTTTATGATGGTATTATGTAACATATCGCGATACATATTAATACGTATCGTATCGTAGCTCAAATATCATGATACTAATATATAGCTTGGTCTAGGTATATATCGATGCAGTCGTAGTTAATAGCTCTTCGCACATTTGATAGTCAAAATGTTACTGAACTGGGAAAATTGCCACTGTCAGCTAAAAGCTCACGATGCCGAATACAACTGAGGTACAGCTGTAATTAATACGTTAAACATAGAATGACACAGTAAGACTGTTAAGCCTAGCACAGACCTGAGACTTTTTCATGCATCTCGACAGCGATTTTAGAATCGCTGTAAAAAAGCTGTGAAATCGCTACGTCTGCGGTAACGTGCAACTGCAACCCGTAGCGATTCTGGTCGCTTGCAACGAGTTGCAAGAAATCAAACCGTTTTGATTTTGAGCGACTTGTCGCTCCCAACTGTTCCCAAATTGTTCTAGAATTGCTTCGAAATCGCATGTGTGCGCACACGCGGCGACACATCGACCGATCGCTTGCGGTTGCAGGTTGCAGCGACCAGCAACCAAAAATCGCAGGTCTGCGCTAGGCTTTAGTTATGAGCACACGCACAGAGTATTTAATTGATCACTTTTGCATCTACTGTGGCAGTTTAACAAGCATATCACATGTGAACACTGTTCACGTCCCAAATGTCTGCCCTCTGTGTCCCCCACTAAAATTGTGGACTGTTCGCTGGCAGCTATAGATGCGTGCGCCGGTCTAAGCATTCGGCGCACGGATCCATAGCTGCCAGCGCTGCATACTGTC